AAAAAAAAAAAAAAAAAAAAAAAAAAAAAAAAAAAAAAAAAAAAGGATAAAGCACAAAATAATCAAGTTAAAGGCTTTTTGGTGTGGTAGTTGTGAAAAAGTTATGGAAATAATATGTTAAGAATTTTCTTTTGGGCACTGTTTAAATGTACAATATTTAGAATAATCAGATTTTTTTTTTTTTTGAGACGGAATCCTGCTTTGTCACCAGGCTGGAGTGCAGTGGCGCGATTTCAGCTCACTGCAGCCTCTACCTCCTGGGTTCAAGCAATTCTCCTGACTTAGCCTCCCGAGTTGCTGGGACTTACAGACTTACGCCACCATGCCCAGCTAATTTTTGTATTTTTTAGTAGAGACGAGATTTCACCATGTTGGCCAGGATGGTCTTGATCTCTTGACCTTGTGATCTGCCTGCCTTGGCCTCCCGAAGTGCTGTGATTAAAGGCGTGAGCCACCGCACCCAGCCCAGAATATCAGATTTTTACACTGTTTCTACTTCAATCAATCTTCCAGAACTTTGAGAGGCAGAGGTGGGATCACTTGAGGTGAGGAGTTTGAGGCTACCTTGGCCAATATGGTGAAATCCTACCTCTACTAAAAAAAATACAAAAATTAGCTGGGCATGGTAGCACGTACCTACAGTCCCAGCTACTTAGGAGGATGAGGCACGAGAACTGCTTGAACTTAGGAAGGCGGAGGTTGCAGTGAGCCAGCCTGGGTGACAGAGCGAGACTCCATCTCAAACAAAAACAAAACCAAAGACAAAACAAAGAAGATGATCCTTGATAGGGAAGAAATTGTAAGAGGAGGCTCCACATCAAATGAATTATGGATAGAGGAGACCCAGGAAGAGACTGCTTAAGGAGGGTAACTACTTACCACACCCCGATTGTTCTTCAGTTCACCATGACAACACAAGACTCGAGAGCTGTCGATCAGAGAGTCTTTCTGGCCTTCTTCCAAGTAAAGAAGCCGCTCTTTATAATAGCGGCATTCTGATTCCCCAGTTTTGGTGTTGATTTCTGCCACTATTCCCTGAATGATGTTTATCTATGGAAACAGAGGAAAATTAAGTATGGAGGAAAGGAGCAAACTGTGCACACCAAGTCTTAGGGGCTCGGCCTAGAAGGTCACCAGGACACACCTGGATCTAATTCTGTTATCTAAATTGCTACTTTGGGAAAAGATAAAAAAGTAAAAATAAATGATTTTAGTATACTGCATCTATCCATCTGTACGCATACACACACACATTTATTTGTACACATATAAAGATATTTGTGTTATATGTAAAACTAATATTGATGTATAATTTTATCTGGGAGGAAGGGATAACTACTGAGCTCCAGGATGTACACTTCTTAAAACGTGCTCACAATGTTAAAAATGTAGCCATAGAAAAAAATTGGCTAAGGAGAGAAAACAAAGCAGAATGTAAGCGTCCAAAAGAAGAACTGTCTTTGAGGATGTGACACTATTAAGAGCTTCAATGTCTCTCTACATGTACTAAATCTAATGTACAAACAGTATTTGCAAATTGGGTTTGAACAGATGGTTTGGATTTTTTTTTTTTTTTTTGGTATGGAGTTTCACTCTTGTTGCCCAGGCTGGAGTATGATGGCACAATCTCAGCTCACAGCAACCTCTGCCTCCCAGGTTCAAGTGATTCTTCTGCCGCAGCCTCCCGAGTAGCTGAGATGACAGGCATCTGTCACCATGTGCAGATAATTTTTGTATTTTTTAGTAGAGATGGGTTTCACCATGTTGCCCAGGCTGGTCTCAAACTCCTGAGCTCAAGTGATCTGCCCACCTCAGCCTTCCAAAGTGTTGGGATTATAGGCATGAGTCACCACGCCTGGCCTGGATATCTTTTTCAGTGACATAACATAAATGTTTATAAAGAACAGGGAAAAAATAGGAAAAAAAGACATCAGCATAATGATGGGGATAGTCTGTATAAATACACCCACACCCAGGGTCTAGAGCCCACGTGAGTAAGTTTGGGCAGAAGATTCCAAAGCGATGGTGGATGCAATGCTGTCAATACAAAAACAAGAATGCTGACTGAGATGTGGCCACTGGATATTTATTCTGACATGTTGTTATTCTGTCATATGAATATATCTAAATGTTAGAAAATGCTAGAAAACAGAAGGATGAGAAATTAGTTAAGTAAAACTCAATGACAGCAGGCTGGGCATGGTGTTTCATGCCTGTGATCCCAGCATTTTGGGAGGCCAAGGCAGATGGATCACTTGAGGTCTGGAGTTCCAGATCAGCCTGGCCAACAGGGTCAATCCCGACCCTAAAAAAAAAAAAAAAAAAAAAAAAAAAAAATTAGCCAAGCAAGGTGGTGCCCACCTGTAATTCCAGCTACTTGGGAAGCCAAGGTGGGAAAATCACTTGAACCTGGGAGGTGGAGGTTGCAGTGAGCTGACAACATGCCACTGCACTTCAGCCTGGGCAACAGAATAAGATACCATCTCAAAAAAACAAAAAAAATCCATGACACCAAGGAGAGGCAAACTAATGATTTCCTTTACAGGATTCTCCGTCCCCTACAAGTGAAAAGACCAGCAGTCCCATCGTTCTTGTGGTGCTAACTGAAAAATACTTAACAGATGGAAAACATTGGTAAGGCCTCTTCTTCATCACATTTACTTAAAAGAAAAGCCAATCAAAAAACAAAAAGAAAAAAGAAAAAAAGAATATATGAAGCCTGTGATGCCAGAAAAAAAAGATAAAAAGAGAAAAAATAAAAGCCAATCTCTGAAAAGCAAGGTTCCAAAAGAGGTCTTTGCTCAGTCAGAAGTTACCATGTCTTAAAATAGTGATAAATTCTATCTAGGATTAATTCTATCTAGGATTGCTAAGTAATTATTTTTCTTTCTTTCTTTTTTTTTTCAATTGAGATAGGGTTTCATTCTGCCGCCCAGGCTGGAGTGCAGTAGTGCCATCTCGGCTCACTGCAACCCCTGACTCTGGGGCTCACATGATCCTCCTGCCTCAGCCTCCCCAGTAGCTGGGACCACAGGCGTGCACCACCACACATGGCTAATTTTTGTATTTTTCATAGAGATGGGGTTTTGCTACGTTGCCTAAGCTGGTCTCTGACTCTTGGCCTCAAGTGATCTGCCCATCTCATCCTCCCAAAGTGCTAGGATTACAGGCATGAGTCACTGCGTCTGGCCAAGTAATTATTTTTCACATGCCAGTAAAATGATATTGTCTGCCAAAAGCAACTGGGTAAAAACTATTACTCAGTTATAACTTTTGTACTTCCACACAAGTTTGACAGAAGATCTTGCAGCTTTGAGCTGAAGTCTCCTATGGAGAGGGGCATAATCTGTTCATTTCTGTACCTGGGTGCTCTTTGACACAAGAGTTTCAAAGATTTCTTTATTATTTCTCTATTTCCCAAATTGTGGTCATAGCACTCACTACTTTGATTAAAAAAAAAAAAATTGTTTAAAAAAATACAGGCTCTTTAGTGTTATAAAAGAAGCTTTTTGGCCTTTGATGTCAATCTAATATTAAATATAAATCCTGTAAAAGTAATTTGAGTTTTATTAACATAAAACAGTAAATAGCAGAATATTTTGGTATACTTTCATATTTTTTTCCTTTCTTGGTTTTCAAAAATGACTGATTATTCACTGTTACTTTCAAGACAAAAACAATTCACAAAATATACTAAATCCATGATTCATCCTTCATATTCATTTAATGTTTATTGAGAACCTATTCCATGTCAGACTAAGTGGTAGCATTCAAAGAAATGAGAGGATTTCTGCCTTCAAAAAGCTTAAAACAAATGGGAGGTATCTGAGCAACTGTGTTATGTCTACTTTAACCTTTTACCTTTCTATATTTTTTAATATGTAGTGAAATCCATGCTTTTTCCTTACTCTTGAAGACCTCAGCATTAGTGGCTGCAGTTTATCAGTTAGCTGTTACCAGGTGTACCTGGACAGCTGGAATTAATCAGTACTTGGGTCAATTTTCTGGGTTGCCTGCAAGTATCTAGGAAACCAGAAAGAAGATGCACTATAGTCATAAATATGTGTTCATTTCCTAATTTAACTCAGGAACTGAACAGCTGGCATATCACATGAAGATTAATAAACTCAAATGCCATGACAGTTCCTCAGGCAGCTATGATTAGTTTCAAATACTGCCTCTTTCACTGGTCTTTGAAAAACAGAGAGGGAACAATGGAAACAATCAGTGTTCTCATTTCATGTTCTATGTATACATCATAATAACTCTGGGTCTGTTTTCATTTATTAAAAATAATGTTTTGTATTTCTGTCTACCTGAATATTATGAGGGTCTTATCTCTCTGCATTGTTTTTTTTTTTTTTTTTTTTTGAGATGGAGTACTGCTCTTGTTGCCCAGGCTGGAGTACAATGGAGTGATCTTGGCTCACTGCAACCTCTGCCTCCCGGGCTCAAGTGATTCTCCTGCCTCAGCCTCCTGAGTAGCTAGGATTATAGGCATGTGCCAACAAATCCTGGCTAATTTTGTGTTTTTAGTAGAGACGGGGTTTCTTCATGTTGGTCAGGCTGGTCTCAAACTCCCGACCTCAGGTTATCCTCCCACTTTGGATTATAGGCACGAGCCCAGACTGTGTGTTGGTTCTTGAGAGAGATTTATTTTGCAGAATTTCAGGCAGGGACAAACTTACATACAGCAGGTTGCCAATAGCCAACAGTCACGGCAGTTGTGCGTTTAAATTAAATTTATTGTTGCATCTCACACTGGGTTCTAACTGAAGGAAGGGACTGGTAGAGGGAGATGATAAGAAATACCTGGTAACAGTACAGAGATTAAGCCCACACATGCTGGACTCATCATCCTCAAAGAGGAATCTGAAAGCCCTGACTGTCTGGTCCCCTGTGCCACAATACTCACTGGCTCCTGCCAAGAAACAAGAATAGCAGTCTTCACGGCTGCTGCATCAAAAGCAGGATTGTTTTTCCCACTGATTTCAGTGATGTTTTTTCTTGAGTTGAGAAACAGTGGTGGATGGGGGGAAGGGATACTCTGCAGGATCACTTTCTGGCCAAAAAAATCCTTAGGATTTAAAACATTAAACAACTAGTTCTCTGGACTATCTGAATATACAAAATTCTATTTTAAGAAGTCCTTTTTTGGGAAAAATTTTTATCAACCCTCAAAACATTAAGAAATTGTAATAAAGACGCCTGTAATCCCAACACTTTGGGAGGCTGACGTGGGTGGATCACCTGAGGTCGGGAGTTTGGGACAAGCCTGACCAATGTGGAGAAACCCCATCTTTAAATAAATAGATAAATAAATAAAGAAATAAACGAACAAACAAACTGAAATTGTAATAAAGATATGGTAGTTTAGGCGCTGCATTAAAGGCAAGATCTCTTTTTAGATCTAATCATAGGACTGCATGCAATCAACTCCCTTGGAACGCAAGCAATTTACTTAGCGCTCTCTGATTTTTCCCTTTTCATAGATGGAAAATTTATTCAGGGGATATGTAAGTCAAGCTACATTGGTGCTATGGGTTTTATGTTTATCAAACATTCACAATGCACCCAAGAGTACAGGGCTAAATAATTCTGTTCATCTGGGGTAATGCCTCGAGGACCTTGTCAAGAAGGAAAAAAAAAAAATCCTGTGCGTATACCCAGTATAAGTAGGCATTGTGAAGACTTGTTTTGCAGACATTTTCAAATGCAAGTATACCATGTTGCATGCACAGATCAGCCTGAATAACTAGGTGCAGACTCAACTTTTGAAAATGGCTTCATACTTTATGCACTAGGGAAAGTGGTTACTGGCACATCCTTTTATATTACACACGATCATATCCTTACATATCTTTAAATTCAAACTTTAGCTCACTGGGTATGTTTTTTTTTTAAAAAAAAAAACAGAACAGTATTCTTTCATGCTCCATATTAAAAAATCTTTACAGTAACTCAGAACAGGTTCCTGTGCTTCAAAAAAGTCATGACTTCGAGTAGCTCACGCTCCCTGTTGTTTTTATTCCTGCAGACCACACACTTGCTGGGATGAAATATGGAGGGGAGGCAACTCTATTGCACTCCTCCCAGTAATAAAAACAGACATGATGAAGTGATATGGGCCTTAACCCCAGTGCCTGCATCCCCCATCTGTGCTGTACTGGGGGCCTGATCTGTGTTGGGCCCGCCAGATACATTGAATACATGAATCAGGAGAGGGTCCTTTATTATTCTTTTCTATCTTACTTGGAGGCACCCAGCCCAGTTCTGCACCAGTGAGGCTGGTGACCAGACAGCTCTCCGCAATTATAAACGCAACAGAAGCTTAAAGTAGTGAGCAGGCTTTCTGCATCAAGGTACAGAACCATAAAGAAGTAGAAGGGCACAGGATTTGGAGTCTACACTGAAAGGGTTTGAACATCAACTGCATCACTTGCTGGCTGTGGATCTGGGCAAGCTATTTAACCACCCCAAGCCTCATCTGGAAAATGGTCCTAATAAAAACAGCTATCTCCTAGGCTGTTGTGAGGGTTAAATGAGATACATAACCTATAAGGCAAATTTACAAAAAGTTGATTTACTGGGTACTCAATGCCAGCAATTATTACCATTATTGTTGTTTCTACTAATTATTATTAAACCCTTCTCTGGGAGGAGATAACAGTTTGCTCAACAGGTTTAAGCCTTCTGATTTTCAAATTATCTATGCATATCCTCCTTCTATCACTGTCCCAGATTAAATCAGAAAATGATTTAACGATTCTCGTGCCTTAGCCTCCTGAGTAGCTGGGACAACAGGTGCATGCCACCTCACCCTGCTAATTTTTTTTTTTTTTTTTTTGGTATTTTTAGTAGAGACAGGTTTTGCTTTTTTGGCCAGGCTGGTCTTGAACTCCTGGTCTCAAGTGATCTGCCTGCCTTGGCCTCCAAAGTGCTGGGATTATAGATGTGAGCCATCATGCCTGGCCCGCATTCAATAAACATTTGCTGAGTGAGGATCCCACTGGTGAGCAGGAGGTTTGACAAGGCAACCTATTGTAACTGGGGACCAAAGGGAGCTAGATCTTAAATGAATGTCTACTTCACAAATGAGCTTTGGGGCTAGGCTAAAAGGCAACTCATTATTTTATAACTAAACAAAATTTAAAAACTACACAAAGATCTTGTTCTTTATAGTCAGCAAGTGTAACACCAGATTAGAGTCACCTATATAAAATTAAGAATTTTACTGCCTAAGGGGCCTTACAGTGTAAACACTGCATTTTACAGTTTAGGAAACTGAGGCAGAGAGAAGAGAAGTGACTTGCAAAATCAAACCATGGATGATGGCAGTGCCAGGCCTGCAACCCAAGATTCCTGAGTACTAAGTACACAGGGATCCTTCCATTCACCCACTGACCCAATCAGCCATTACGGGGGAAATAACAAGAAAAGAGAGAAAGAAACAGACAAACTTACAGCTTCTTCCAAGTGCTGCTGATCTGGATTATCATTTGGTGTGTGCCTCAAGATTTCTCGAAGAAGTAGAGGGTATTTTACCAGACGGCTTCTTGGAATATCAAGGAAATTCCAGAGATCTAGTTTGCGGCTAAAGGGGGATTCTAAACATCGCTGTAGGAAATCCTGGACTCGGTGATCTTGCTTTTTGTGGTCCAGCAGAGCTTTGGCAGCTACTTGATTGCTACAGTAACTGTCATAGGAGCTGAGGCAAGGCAGCTAAGAAAGAAACAGAAAGAGAAGATGGAATGTCAAAATAATGTGAGCTCTGAGGCTATAGGTGGCCTCACTTATTGGGACTGAGCAAACACCTAACTGGTCTCTGGGTCTGGCCAACATCCTTTTTTTTTTTTTTTTTCTGAGACGCAAGAGCAACAAGAGTAACAAGTCTTGCTCTTGTTGCCCAGGCTGGAGTGCAATGGCACAATCTCGGCTTACTGCAACCTCCACCTCCCGGGTTCAAGTGATTCTCCTGCCTCAGCCTCCTGGGTAGCTGGGATTATAGGTGCCTGCCACCATGACTATAATCCCATATATATATAATTTTATATTTTTAGTAGAGATGGGGTTTCTCCATGTTGGTCTCGAACTCCCAACCTCAGGTGATCCGCCCTCCTTGGCCTCCCAAAGTGCTGGCATTCTGCATGGCTGGTGGAAAGTAGTGGAATCTTCAACATAGCAGGCAGTGGACCATTTTCTTAGGCTCTGGCTTGCTTTCACAAAGTAATTTTCTTAATTGCATGTTTACTTTCTTGATTAAGACTCTTATAGTTTGTTTGCATTTTCTGCCAATCTAAGTGATATGGTTTAGATCTGTGTCCCCGCCCAAATCTCATGTTGAACTGTAATCCCCAGTGTTGGAGGAGGGGCCTCCTGGGAGGTGACTGGATCATGGGGTGGATTTCCCCTTTGCTGTTCCTGTGATAGTGAGTGAGATCTCAGGAGATACGGTTGCTTACAAGTGTGTAGCACTTGCCCCCCTGCTCTCCTCCTCCTGTTCTGGCCATGTAAGATGTGCCTGCTTCTGCTTCTGTCATGATTGAAAGTTTCCTAAGGACCCCTCAGCCATGCTTCCTGTACAGTTTGCAGAATCATGAGGCAGTTAAACCTCTTTTCTTTATAAATTACTCAGTTTCAGGTATTTCTTTATAGCAGTGTAAGAACAGACTAATACACTAAACCAGAAACAACAGAAGTGAAATTACTGCCTATACATACAGTTCAGAATTTTCTAAACTTCCGAAGATATCTAGTCAGGTGAAACCCTCCTATTTTATTTACAAAAAAAAAAAAAAGATTTCCTTTAAGATTATTAATAAGAAACTCAAGGCCGGGCGCGGTGGCTCATGCCTGTAATCCCAGCACTTTGGGAGGCTTAGGCGGGTGGATCATGAGGTCAAGAGATCAACACCATCCTGGCCAACATGGTGAAACCCCATCTCTACTAAAAAATACAAAAATTAGCTGGGTGTGGTGCTGCGCACCTGTAGTCCCAGCTACCTGGGAGACTGAGGCAGGAGCGTTGCTTGAACCCGGGAGGCGGAGGTTGCAGTGAGCTGAAATCGTGTCATTGCACTCCAGCTGGCGCCTGATGACAGAGTGAGACTCTGTCTCAAAAAAAAAAAAAAAAAGAATCTCACTTAGAAGACTTTAGTGGCACAAAAAGGAGGCAAAGGGTCATACTCCATAGCCCAGCCTTTTGCATGGCTCGAACCTCTATACTAGCCCACATTAGTTTAAGATGATCTGATTCCAAGGAGCCCAATTATAAAGAGCCTCAAGAAGTTAAAGCAAAAGTATGATTACTAAAAAAATCAGATGCAGAGAGCATTTATAAACATCTTTTAAACTAGCTCTGACAGGCCAGAAACAAGTTTTGGCTGTCACTAACAGTTAACGTCACAATACCATGTGATAAACAATTTAAGCTTAAAGACTTTGGAACATTTAAACTTCACTGCCTTCATTTCAGCGAAATGCTAATTTCTCTGACATATCCCATCAGTCAAACTGTGCAAACACCACGTCAGAGGCTCAACGGAAAAGGCTTCTTGTCCACTTTTTCTGCCTTGGCATTCTAATCTAAGAGCTACCAGCCTCCAGAAAGTTACCGGAAGCAATAAAACGCAGCCAATGGCCTAACAGCTTTTGTTTCTCTCCCTTGCACTAGGAAGTCCTATTCCTTGTAATACCTGTTCTTTAGAGGGATTCAGTGCAAGACACTCGCAAAAGAGTGACTTTCATTTCTGCATCCTCACTACTTTGCATTGGGCCTACTATATGGGAGAAACTCTGTGTCTCTGTGTTCTGAATGAACAAATAAATGCATGTTTAATAGGTTATAAAATTAGCTAATATTTGATGGTTTGGGAACATTGCTTAAAAATAAAGTATGGCTGCCAGGCGTGGTGGCTCACACCTATAATCCCAGCACTTTGGGAGGCCAAGGTGGATCATGAGGTCACGAGTTCGAGACCAGCCTGGCCAGCATGGTAAAATCCCAGCTCTACCAAAAATACAAAAGTTAGCTAGGCATGGTGGTGGGTGCCTGTAATCCCAGCTATTCAGGAGGCTGAGGCAGGAGAATTGCTTGAACCTGGGAGGCAGAGGTTGCAGTGAGCCGAGATCGTGCCGCTGCCCTCCAGCCTGGGTAAAATGGGGGAAACCCCTTCCCAAAAAAAAAAAAAAAAAAAAAAAAAAAGTATGGCAGCTTCTGAAACTTTAAATACTCTGCTGCTGCTTTTACACATCTTATTGAAATTATTTTCTCAGTCACTGAAACCAAAAAAAGAAAGTAATATTTTAAAAGCTCACTGTTGAGCTTAATATTCCTTGGAAATGTCTACCTTCCTTACATGTTATTAAAAATCTCAGGCTGGATGCAGTGGCTCACACTTGTAATCCCAGCACTTTGGGAGGCCAAGGCACGTGGATCATGAGATCAGGAGTTCAAGACTAGTCTCGCCAAGATGGTGAAACCCTGTCTCTACTAAAAATACAAAAATTAGCCAGGTGTGGTGACAGGCACCTATAAACCCAGCTACTTGGGAAGCTGAGGCAGAGAACTGCTTAAACCCGGGAGGCGGAGGTTGCAGTGAGCTGAGATTGCGCCACTGCACTCCAGCCTGGGCAACAGAGCAAGACTCCATCTCAAAAAAAAAAAAAGGAAAAGAAAAAATCTCTACTTGTGTTAAAGAGTTGCAGAATTTTTTTCCCTCAACCTTATATCTGAAAGTACTAGCTATTATTTGAAAGTAATGATAATTGGTATTTACACATGCACGCGTGCGCGCGCACACATGCACACACACACACACACAGAGGGAGAGAGACAGAGAGAGAGAGAGAGAGAGAGAGAGAGAGAGAGAACCCAGACGTGGTACTGTGGCTTATAATTTAGATTTTCAGAGTTAATTAAAAAGGGCCTTAGGCCTTCTTAATTTCATTTGCAGTTCCTCACCTTTCAAAAAGATCTGGAAATGCTCAACGTTTTCATTAGTAAGAAACAAATCAGCAGTAGCCATCTGATGTAAACTAGTGAGGAACCGCAACCACACTGCTGCTCCCTGAGGATGGGCCATTGCTCCCTGTGATCCTGCTGCCCTGCTACCACGGCAACCAAATCAGGCTCTGGTCCTGTGCTCTCACCTGACAGGGTGCTCATTTCCTGGGCATGACCTGAAAGGCTATCTAGTTCAGTCACCGGCTAGGAAAGGCCACAAGTGATCTAAACTATACAGGGTGAAGAATGTACAAGATCTTGGTTCTCAAATACACACACACTCCCTTATTCAGAATGTGTGAGGTGAAAATGCAGTGGTTAAAGAAGAGGCTAGGCCAGGCATCATGGTTCACACCTGTAATCCCGTCACTTTGGGATGCTGAAGAGGGTAGATCACTTGAGGTCAGGAGTTTGAGACCAGCCTGGGCAACCTGGTGAAATCCCATCTTTACTAAAATATATGAAAATTAGCCAGACATAGTGGTGTGCGCCTGTAATCCCAGCTACTTGGGAGGCTGGGTCACGAGAATCACTTGAACCCAGGAGGCCAAGTTTGCAGTGAGCTGGGATTATGCCACTGAACTCCAACCTTGGCGACAGAGCAAGACTCACTCTGAAAAAAAAAGACTCAGAAATAGGGAGAATCAAGTTCAAAGCCTAACTCCCACAGCTGTTAGTCAGTGACTCTTCCGAGCCTCAGTGTGTCTCCACCTACGAAATGTATATTCTAACGTCCCGCCTCCCTTAATGAGGTAAGGCATACAAAATATGTATCAAGGGGCTTGGCTTCTGATTAAGAATCAGTAAGTATTAGCTATTATTACTTGTCCCTAGAAGTTTTTTCTTTTTGTGACAGGGTTTTGCTTTGTTACTCAGGCTGGAAAGTAGTGGCATGATCATGGCTCACTGAGCCTCTTCTTCCCAGGCTCCAGCAATTCTCCTTCCTCAGCCTCTCAGGTAGCTGGGGCTACAGACATGCACCACCATGTCAGCTAATTTTTTTTTTGTAGAGACAGGGTTTCGCCATGTTGCCCAGGCTGATCTCTGACTCCTGGGCTCAAGCCATCCACTCACCTCAGGCTTCCAAAGTGCTAGGATTATAGACATGAGCCACTGCGCCTGGGCCCTAGAATATTTTTATTGAAGGGACTGTGGTTTAGAGAACCAAAGCTACTTGCTTAGCTAGAGTCTGAAGCTTGTTCTTGTTTCCCCTTTACCCTCAGAGTTCTGAACTACTTGCCATCTCTTTATTAAACAGACTATCAAGAATTTATAAGGGAAATTCACTTTTTTAAAAAGTTCTTTATCCCCTTAATATTGTGAAAAGTGTCAGAAAAAAATCTATTTTTTTGCTTCCATGTACCCTGGCTCTTTCTTAGGAATTAAACTTTAATTAGACACCAAATTAACATGAGAACTTTCTCCCTTGGAGAGTTTAGAAATTATTTTATCATTGAAAAAAACGTTGGCATGGAGGTAAGTCACTTGGTTAGTTGTTTTTTTATGCTAGGGAGGGCTTACTCAAACAGGCTGACCCATTAGGGAGGGGGGACACTAATTCTTAGTAACTGGGTAGTTCCCTGAAAAAAAGCCACCACTCTGTTTAAGGTCTTCAAAGTAAAAGTAATTGATTCATTCTAAGGTCAAAAGGACTGGCCAGGGCTGTCCCACTTGGAAGGCTCACTTGTTTAAAAGGCGCCCCTCCCTACCCCCACCACTTTTTTCCTTTGGGGGGAAAATAAATCAGTTTTTCATGGGTCGAATGGGCTCTGACTTTTCTCATCCAAAGTCCACTAAGATGTTTACTTTGTTCTGTTAAAAATACAAGAACTCAAACATATGTACTCCTTGGTTTACTGTTCCCACTCATACGAACACATCTGCAGTTAAAAGAGGAAAAGCATTTAACAGCTCGTCAGGCCTGATAAATAAGGGCCATTTCTCACGAAGTCTGGCAACAACAGGCCAGTTGTTTAATTTTAGGCTGCTCTTCAAGATCCAAGTCCTCATTTGATGCCTGAAGGATCCAGATAGCAATGGGCCAGCATGCATGGTCACACTTCCTTTGGGTATGTACAGAAAAGGACTGCAAAGCTGCTCCAAGCTCAAACCAATTTTCTAATAAATGTGACAAACGCTTAGTTCAGCAAAAAGTTAGTATAAAGGCAAATTACTACAATTTTGCTTCTGGCACAAATTGACAATTTGCATATGCTGCCTAAGGAAACCACGTAGTCCTATACTGTTGTCTCATCAAAAACAGAGCAGTTATCCTACAAATTCTGGAATGCGGCCTAACTGTTCCTTTTATCCCTATATCAAAGTCCACAGACTCAGGCAGACTCTTTACTCATTATACCTTCTCTGTCTCTGTCTCTCTGTCTCCAGTTGGCTGGCTCTCTTTGGAGAAATTTCTTTGTGGGCTAAAGAAGTTAAAACATGGCTCATAATAAAATGAAAGTCAAAAATATAGAATGAACGATCTCTCTTGAAATATTAAGGCATATTTTCTAAATTATTCATCTTAGAACATTACTTGCCTTTCAGATACCCTTGGAATATTCCAGCCTTAGTGCTAAAATTGACTCCTGAACTAAAGCTATCTAAGTCATGAAACTCTCATTAAGTATCTTGACCAAGACAGTCAGTGAGAGATAAGAGATCAATGTAAAAACTTTCTGCACATCTATGTCGTATCAAGGCATGGGAACCGAAAGGTTTTAGGAAGATTAAAATGCAAATGTAACTGGGTAAACAGAACTCACATAGCAACAGTAGGATTTATAACCTTCACAACACTCTCCAAACAGTGAAATTATCTCTAATATTAGCTGTTTTGGTACTTCCTGCCTATTTTCCTGGAATACCGTGCGCCACAGAGTGATGAGACACCTAATCTCGCCTGGAAGAAGTCAGCAAAGTAATCTGCTCTCATTATCTGCTTTACAACAAATGAAAAACACTTGGAACTGGGGTGGATCATTCAAGTACTCATAGAAGGAAACAGAAATGTATAGAATGGGGAGTTGTGGGGACTGAGGCAAAATAGAGCACACACCTTGTCCAAAGTAAGTTAAACGAACAAACAACTTTATGTACACAATAAAACACAAATCCAGTCCCAGGATCATAAATTTATGACTCCTAAGATCACAGCTTATTTTTATTTAATTAGGAAAAGGAATGAGTTATGTTGAGATGAAACTAACCATATACTAAGCTGTCCTATGAAATTACTTAGCTTTGTATATATGCTAAACATTAGCAACATATGCTTATTATCCTGTTTATAAAACTACATTTTGACCATGAGATTCTTTTCTTGTGGCCTGAAAAGTTTGTTTGTTTTTTTTGGTAGTGGATAGGAATATGTCAATAAATTTTTACTGGGCTAGTAATAATTATATTAGCAATTGGCCTGATAGAATATTAACTAGTTTTGATTTGATATGAGCCTAGTAATAGTTTCATATGTACCTTTACTTATTTTGTTGCAAATGGCCCTGTTACTTTTAAAAGCAGTGTATTTATAATAAGAAAAGAACTGCTTTCATGTTTTAAATAGACAGTCTAAACATAATTATAATTTTACTAGGAATTTGGTTTTTTTTTTTCAGATGTGAAACCAATACTTGTAAAAAAAAAAAAAAAAAAAAAGTCTAGCTAAATGTTTCTCATCTATATTATTGAAATTTATCTGCAACAAAGACCGGAGAACTTTCTTACCCAGCCCACGAGGATGGGACCAACATGTTCAGTCGAGCCATCAGGCTTCCGAGCATCTCGAAGCTGACTAAGGAGCTCTGGCAAAAAACAGACAGAATGCTTATTTGTTAGGCATTTAAATATGAACAGGGCTGGAAGTAGGTTCTGAGTTATTCACATGGCAGGCATTTCATAATCACTCACGCGTTATAAGACAACTCAATTAAAGCTACAAGTCACAACCCATCCTGGGAACAAGATTATACCTTCATGTAGAGGAATTAGAGAGTCCAGTGTTCCAAAAATTTGATTCAACTCTTGTTCTGTCATTATGGAGAGTTTCAGCATGGGGTCATGATAAGCCTGCACAAAAAGGGCAAGAGATATAAGCAAATGTTTAAAATCAGAGGAAGTACATTGTTCATATAAGTGGCTCCTGAGAGGTCATATCCAATAACAAGATTTTCGGCTCTCTAGCTTCTCCCATAAAGCTTCAGAAACAGCAGATAGGTGTGGCTGGAGGAGAGGAAAAACCAGCACTGCCTTGAAACTTTGCGGTTGTTGATAAAACAAAGCAGATTTTTCGAAAGTTTTTTTTTTTATTCTAGTATATCATGTATCTAGGAAAGAGCATACATCCTAGGCATAGAACAGATTTGACTGTTAAAATGTTTTCAAAATGAAGATCCTGCCTGTTTAAAAAAAAAAATCCTACTTTATTCAAAACTAGCTACCAGTAGATTCTTTTTTTCAATGAGTACATATTTAAAATAAAGAAAAAGAGGAAAGAAACAGTGACTGGTATCCTGTAGTACTATTTGAACAAAGAGAGTAAAACCTCTGCCAATCCTATCATCTCTTATTAGAGATAACTGAACAACAAGAATATAGTTATACCCAGGGCACAGAAACAGAATATGAAGACTTAGAATCTGTTTCCTGCCTTCAAGGATTTTTTTTTTTTTGGGACAGAGTCTCGCACCGTCACCCAGGCTATAGTGCAGTGGTGCGATCTTGGCTCACTGCTATCTCCACCTCCTGGGTTCAAGCAATTCTCCTGCCTCAGCCTCCCCAGTAGCTGGGACTACAGGCGGGCACCACCATGCCCAGCTAATTTTTTTGTATTTTTAGTAGAGATTGGGTTTCACCATGTTGGTTAGGATGGTCTCGATCTCCTGACCTTGTGATCTGCCTACTTTGGCCTCCTAAAGTGCTGGGATTACAGGCGTGAGCCACTGCACTCAGCCTTAAGGAGTTTTATAAAGCTAATGGGGAAGATAAGAAAAACAAAAATAATTTTAGTTTTATATTTTAGTTTCTCATCTCATGGAAAATGAAATCTATGTTTAAATGAAAAGAAACTTTTTTTTTTTGAGATGGAGTCTTGCTCTGTCACCCAGGCTGGAGTACAGTGGCACAATCTCAGCTCACTGCAGCCTCTATCTCCTGAGTTCAAGTGATTATCCTGCCTCAACCTCCTAAGTAGCTGGAATTATAGGTGCCCGCCAGCATACCTGGCTAATTTTTGTATTTTGTTAGTAGTGAAGGGGTTTCACCATATTGGCCAAGCTGGTCTTGAACTCCTGACCTCAAGTGTTCCGCCCACCTTGGCTTCCCAAAGTGTTGGTATTACAGGCATGTGCCACTGGGCCTGGCTTATGTTTAAAAATTAGTTAAAGATTAAAAACAAGACTGATGTCACATGACAGCAAAAAGCCATCAAATCATAACTACTCTAGAGGTTCAGAGAATTAAAGCTGGAGTGGCCAAGGGAAGTTTTGAAGATGAGCTCCTTGGTACAGAAGAGGAGGCAATAAATGTTATATAAGAATGAATTGAGATTTGAGCTGGTTCCTGAAGGATGGGTGGATATGGATGGTTGAAAGGAAAGAGAAAAGTTTCTAGGAAGGTAGGGCCACCATTAGTAAAGGGATGGCAGGGAAACATCTGAAGGTGCTTGAGTTTGGCAAATCTTGATGCAGGAAAGGGGAGTTAGACATATGACCAGCATGATAACATCTCAGAGTGAAATAACTTCTTTGCCTTCTCTGATCTCCTCCTTCTCCAGCCCTACCTAAAATTCATTTCTTGGCTGTGTCCAAGCGAAGCTTGGGTGGCCATCTCTCAGGAATGCTAAAGGTAGAATTTCATCTTAGCAGAAAGACTAAAACCCTTAAAAGAAGGGAGGTATCCTTCTATCCTTCCAACCCTGTGATTCTTTGAGGAGGCTGTGAATATCAGATAAAGGAGTCTGGATTTTAACCTACAAGCCATGGAGTTGGGGGGCTGTGTTACTGGAATGGAAACATTTTTGAGGAAGATTTGTTGTCCTTCCCCTCCCCATACAAAATGTTGACTAGAAAACACAGTCCAATATAAGAGACCCCAACTTATATGATAGTATGCAATTGCCTCATTTAACTTTATTCACTTTTGAGATTCAAATGGCTTTATTTCTAAAACACAGCACAAGTTTCAGATATGCACACATTCTTTCCCATGGACAAAGAGTCCTACATATGAGACTTCTAGGACAAGGAAATAGACATAAAGCCAGGCCTCCATGGACATTTTCGGATTTAGGCTGAAGTATTCTTTGAGATGCATTAGAGACATGCAGAGGTAAACCCCTAAAGGTGCAAGGCCTGGAGAGCTATTCTGCCTTCTTGTTTTGAAGCATTTTCCCCTGTTTGGTATGTGGTAGAAGATTCTTCTCAATTTTGATGACCAGTCTTAGTTTTAAAGAGAGTTGTCATGAAGCACCACTTTAGGGTTGTTAAATTATTCAAGAAAAAATATGACTCAAATGACCACTGGATTTAAATTTACCTTTTTTGCTAATTTCAAGTCTTCTATCAAGTCTTCTTCTCCTTGGGAAAGCTCAAAGATTGCCTGTGAGGAAAGGCAAACATATTAACTGAATTCTCCCTTCATTTACAAGACCATATTCAAACAATGCTCGCTCCACTACTCAAAACCCCAAATTTACATATTTAAGTATTTTAAAGTTAGTCCCAAAAAGTTATATTAACCTGAAACAAATACATCTGTGCTTAAACCTGAATGAAATTGTGCTTCTCTGTGGGAGAAAGTTTCCGCACATTTCTAATCCAAAAAGTCATCTTTCAGGTTACAGAACTTTGATGGAGCCGAACAAGTGGGAACTATTTATTTATTTATTTATTTTTTTGAGACAGAGTCTTGCTCTGTAGCCCAGGCTGGAGTGCCGTGGCATGATCTTGGCTCACTGCAACCTTCACCTCCTGGGTGAAGCCTCCTGAGTAGCTGGGATTACAGGCACAGGCCACCACACCCAGCTCATTTTTGTATTTTTTGTGCAGATGGGATTTCACCATGTTGGTCAGCTTGGTATCAAACTCCTGACCTCATCATCTGCCTGCCTCGGCCTCCAAAATGCTGGGATTACAGGTGTGAGCCACCGCATGCGCCAGTGAGAACTATTTTAGGTAAAATAATTACAGTGTGAGCCATGGATTTGGCACCCTTGTTGTGAGAGGCAATCATAAGAAGTGATTCAGGGGCTATTCTAGATAATGGAAGTGGCAATATTATTAACTGGACCATCCCCACTTTTTCTTCTACTCAACAGAAGGTGAATCTCAGCAGAAAGTTTTATTTGTGTTATCCACTGCCTTGAGGCTGAAATTGTAGGAAGAATCCAATATTTTATCTCTCCAAATACATTGTGGTGAAGTTAATTCATTCTAAATTACTTCTCAGCCCCACAGGTACAATAAATAAAATTATAGGAGCTGATTGTGTGGAAGAGTGTGTAAATGGACCGTTTCTAATTTGGCTCTATTAAGCCATCATGCTAAAGAGCTATGATGCGAAGAATACTCTTTCACTCCCATCTGGGAAGTGAAATCGTCAGCAAACATTACCTTATTAAAGGACTACAAGTTTGTGATGATAGTTCAGGGTCTACTATGTTTCAGGCTATAGGGAAAAAGTGGTCAGGCTTTGAACGCTCCCTCTGCCTGGGGCTGACTGGTAAACTGGGCACAAAGCAGGTGAAGGTGCAACCCCGGGCTGAATACTCCAAGGATCTCATCAGATGATGCAGACATGAAGTGCTCAGCACAGCTTGGCACAAGCACTTAGACAAGCTCTTCTATACAGAATAATATTATCACAGCCATTTAGGGCAATTGATACAGAAAACTTACAGGGAGTGAAATTAACTGGATTCTATAGAAAGGAAGTTTTCCACAAAGCAGAATCAAAGTTATATAAATTAAATATTTAAAAATACTCTGTAAGTTGCTATCAAAATATAACTCAAATGATTATTTTTGTGAATTCAGTAACCTAAATAGACACTTGGTTTCATCTTCTTATAAATTCAGATTTTCACATCAGTTTCTTTTTAAAGTGAGGGCCACACCCTACCAGCTGGGTTTTGGTTTCTCAGTTCCCTCCCCAAGGTCAGACACTCCCGTTTTCCTCCTTCTACAAATGCAGTCAAGAATTGATTTGGAGACTGAGGCACAAACTCCAGCACAGCTGTCTCCTGAAGTGCACCTTTGTTCCAGACACATAGCCAACTCCATGGGCCCCGAGCCTACCTCCTGACGTTTGATTTCCTTGGATGTAAGCATCTGATTGACGCACACATCGAAGGTCTCACTCCAGAGCTTGCTATCTCTCCGTTTCGTGCTTGAGGGGGCGGCATTTCTGGACCAGGGTCGGGGGGCAAGGATGTCAGGGCGGCTCTCGCTGCGGAAGCTAATGGAGCGCTAAACAATGAGAAAAACAAACCATCAGGGGGGCAGCGGCAGGACTGGGTGGATCTTTGAGCAGTTTCCTGTCGTTGACAGAATATTAATCATATATGTGAAAGAAAAAGAGGACATTGCCACAAGGCCTTTGGGAAGTAGGGCATTGTCTTGAGTCTACGTGCTAAGGAAAATTGGACAGGGTTTGGAACATGTGCTGGGAGTATCCGTCCTGTATGACCTGGATACCAAGTGGACTATAGCACAAGCACATATCAGGCCAAACTCACGCATGAAGGCAGTTCTTGGTTACGTGATGAGCTCTATTTTTTTCCAGTGGACATCTTCCCTCTTTAGAAGAACAAGAGATAACAACAGTGGATGGCCTTTATTTATGTATTGCTTAAACATTTGGCCAGTACTTCTACCCTCCTCCTTCTATAAATAGAATCCCACTATCTTTGGGTATTCTATTTCATATAGTTTTGGTGGGCTCCCGCAGACCTGACCAATAGAGTATTCCACCATCTTGGTTAGAGATGGGCATGTGATTCCCTGAAATTTGTCACATGATTTATGGGAGAAAGAAGGGAAGAGTATTCCTTTGGGATTTTGAGTTCAAGAGATAACAGAAATGGGCTTACAGCAGCAACTCTCCCTGGTTGCACAGAAGCATATGTCTACTACAGGAGAGAATAAAGATACCCAGAATGAAGGATGGCGTGACCAATGGAGACAAGAAGGGAGCAAGCTTTACCGATACTGCTTGAGCCTCTGGATCCCACTGTGCCTAAAACCAGAAGCACCCTTAGACATTTTTGTTACGTGGGCTAAGACATTTCCCTTTCTATTATCTCATTGGGGTTCTGTCAACTTGAAACGTCTGACTAATACACATACCAAATACCATCTTCGCAGCAGATGATTCCTGTCCCCAAGGTATTTTCCTATTCCCAAAGAGGCCCCAGTAGCCTCTGGGGCAGTCTAACCACCTGAAGTCCACCTTTGTGACTTAAACAGCTACCAGAATGCTTTCTTGTGACAAATACAAATGATCTGGAAGAAAGCTGAATGCATCACTTTCAGTCTTCATCCTAGAAAATTTCATCACACTTACTGGAGACTTTGCCAAAGCAATGAGGTATTGCTGTGCTCAAAAACCACGTTCTTGTTTAGGAAGTGTTCCCCACCATGGCTCTCTGGGGACTTCAGCATAAAGTTTCAATTCTTCAGCTTGGCACAGAAAGTCGCTTGTGTGTATATATATATATGTATATATATATATGTATATATATATATATATGTATATATATATATGTGTGTGTGTGTGTGTGTGTGTGTGTGTGTGTGTGTGTGTGTGTGTGACGGAGTCTCGCTCTGTTGCCCAGGTTGGAGCGCAGTGGGGCAATCTCGGCTCACTGCAACCTCCACCTTCCGGGTTCAAGCAATTCTCCTGTGTCAGCCTTCCGAGTAACTGAGACTACAGGTGCCCACTACCACGCTCAGCTAATTTTTTGTATTTTTAGTAGAGACGGGGTTTCACCGTGTTAGCCAGGATGGTCTCGATCTACTGACCTCATGATCTGTCCTTCTCAGCCTCCCAAAGTGCTGGGATTACAGGCGTGAGCCACTGCACCCAGTCCAGAAGTCTCTTGTAATCTGACCACAGTCTCTGTATTTAGGATCCCATCCTGCCACTTGTCCATGAACCTCCATTTCTCCAACCAAACCAGGCTATCTGTCATTCCCTAAATATGTCATGCTTTGCCATCCTCTGTACTCCCTTTGAGCAATCTTCTCTTCCTGGAATATGTTTCCATCATTTCACAGTTGGCTAACTCTTAACTGTCCTCAGGATGTAACTCATACAGCACAGCCTCTAAGAAGTCTTCACCAACATTCTCATATCATTCTACCTTCTGCCAGAGCAATTTGGACATACCTCTGATGTCACACTTGATTAGAATTATTGGTCACCTGCTCTTTTTTTTTTTTTTTTTTTTTGAGACGGAGTTTCGCTCTTGTTACCCAGGCTGGAGTGCAATAGCGCGATCTCGGCTCACCGCAACCTCCGCCTCCTGGGTTCAGGCAATTCTCCTGCCTCAGCCTCCTGAGTAGCTGGGATTACAGGCACGTGCCACCATGCGCAGCTAATGTTTTGTATTTTTAGTAGAGATGGGGTTTCACCATGTTGACCAGGATGGTCTCGATCTCTTGACCTCGTGATCCACCCGCCTTGGCCTCCCAAAGTGCTGGGATTACAGGCTTGAGCCACCGCGCCCGGCCCGGTCACCTGCTCTTAACTATAAACTTCCTGAGGTCAGGAACTGAGTCTGCATATGACATATGAGCCTTCATCACAAAAGCATTCTAAGGCAGTTCCAATTACTTTGAGATTCAACAATAAAATTCCAGAAAGTAAAGAAATTTTTAAAAAGAACTACTCAACATAAGGGCATTGTTAAGAAAGATATAATTGGCGGGGTGCAGTGGCTCACACCTGTAATCCCAGTACTTTGGGAGGCTGAGGTGGGTGGATCACCTGAGGTCAGGAGTTTGAGACCAGCCTGGCTAACATGGGGAAACCCCATCTCTACTAAAAGTATAAAAATTAGCCGGGTGTGGTAGCAAGCACCTGTAATCCCAGCTACTCAGGAGGCTAAGACAGAATTGCTTGAACGTGGAAGGCAGAGGTTGCAGTGAGCCGAGATCATGCCACTGCACTCCAGCCTGGGAAATAAGAGCAAGACTCCTTCTTAAAAAAACAAGTTATAATTACCTGCTGGATCTAATATTATCTAGTCACTAAGACAATTCAGAGATAATTTAAAATGTAAAAATCCCTTCTATGTAGGCTAAAAGGATTAAAAATCTATATGTGAACATTTTATAAGTATGCAAAAAATACACATAATCAAAGACATAAAGAGATCACAAAACTGTACTGTTTTTTCATGTTAACATTATGGGTGATTTCTGTACTACTTTATAAATTTTTATGTCTGAAGAAAAATAAGGCTGGGCATGTTGGCTCATGCCTGTAATCCTAGCACTTTGGAAGGCTGAGGCAGGCGGATCACCTGAGGTCAGGAGTTCAAGACCAGCCTGAACAACATGGTGAAATCCTGTCTCTACTAAGAATACAAAAAAATTAGCTGGGCGTGATGGTGGATGCCTGTAATTCCAACTACTTGGGAGGCTGAGGCAGGAGAATTGCTTGAACCCAGGAGACAGACGTTGTAGTAAGATGAGATTGTGCCACTGTACTCTAGCCTGGGCGACAGAGCGAGACTCCATCTTAAAAAAAAAAAAAAAAAGAAAGAAAAGAAAAGAAAAAATGAGGCTGGGCTTGGTGGCTCATGCTTGTAATCCCAGCTCTTTGGGAAGCCAACGCAGGTGGATCACTTGAGCTGAGGAGTTTGAAATCAGCCTGAGCAACAAATCAAGACCTTTGTTTCAGTTTTAAATTTTTAGAAATATATAGATACATATAAGAATAAATGAAAAATGTAAAAAGAAACTTCCAAAGAGCTTCAGGGTATTGCTACAACTTTCTGGAAGCAGGAAACTTCCTCTATTTGCAAGTAGCAACACAAGCCCCTTAGGCTGGCAAAAGCACCGGGGAGCTCCTGTGCTCACCAATGAGCTCATGATGGCTGGACCAGCCCTATGTAGATCAAGAAAGTGCTTGCACCAAATACACAGTTCACTAATGGGATCTTGCAAATCCTTGTGATCTCTTAAAAACAGTCCCTTGTACAGTAACCAGCAACTAAATGCATGCAGATCCCCAGCACTCCAAATCAATTAGCCACAAGCATTAAAAGGTCAAAACAAGCCCAGTGAGTCATTAAGTAACTTGCTCAACCCAGTTTGCAGTTCTGATGGCAGCTGGGTTGAGAATTAAAGAGCAGAAAGAAAGGAAAATACAAAGAAAGAAAATTCAAAATGAAAGTTTCCACTTTCACTTGAGAGAATCAACCTCCTACCCTGTTATATTTTCAGTCTTTGGCCAACTTTAAACTCCCCCTACCAATTTGAAAATAATGTATGCTAATTTTAAATTTTCATATATTACAAAATTGTATAAAATTAAGTACAAATGCCCTCATTTCTTCAAGTCTGTCTCCTAGAAATAACAACTATTAAGTTTGTTCTATCTAGCTATTTCCAAATTTTTTCTGTGTGTTTGCTAATATTCATAGAAAACTGAATGCTTTCTCTTTCTACTTGACAATACCTTGAGGTGAAATTCATATAACTCAATTACTTTTGTTTGTTGTTGTTTTTTTTTTTAAGAGATGGGTCTTGCTCTGTTGCCCATGCTGGAGTGCAGTGGTGCAATCATAGCTCACTGTAATCTCAAACTCCTGGGCTCAAGTGATCCTCCCACCTCAGCCTCTTGAGTAGCTGAGACTATAGGCAAGTTCCACCACTAAGCAAGTGCCTGGCTAATTTTTTTGTTTTTAATTTTTTAGGCATGGGGTCTTGCTGTGTTGCCCAGGTTGGTCTTGAGCTTCTGATCTCAAGAGATCCTCCTGCCTCAGCCTCCCAAGCTGCTGGGATTACAGGTATGAGCCACTGTGCCCAGCCTATAATTAACCATTTTTTAAGTGAACAATTCAATGCTATTTAGTATATTCACAAGGTTGTACAACTACCACCTCTATCTAGTTCCAAAACATTTCCATTACCTCAAATTCATTTATTCTTTTTAATGGCTGCTGAGTTAGTATCCCATAGTCTGGACAGGCCTATTGATTTAATCAACTGATGAGCATTAAAATTGTTTCCAGTGTCTGGCTATTATAAAAAGTGCCTCAGTGAACATGCTTTGTATATTTGTGCTGATACTTCCAAAAGGCAGGAATTCCTTAAGTGGAATTCCTTGGTCTAAGAACTATAAACATTTTAATGTTTGAGATGTGTCGCCAAGTTGACCTCCAAACAGGCTATTCAACTTTATATTCCTCAGACAGGTACATGATAGTACACTTTGGTCACACTCTCATCAACAAGGT